AATAAACATCATAGTTATGTTGAATATTTGCTTTACTTTGTTTTGTTTTGGAATTGCCTGTCCATTCGGTTAAGAGATGACTGGATGTGGCGGTAACACCCATTTCTCTAATAATACTTCCGCTGTAATATTCAAATGACTTTATCAATAAATAACAGTTTAATTGCAAATATATGAATATTTGGGTGGGAAATTTGGGGGTGTTACATTAAAGATGGATTGATTAGGATTAAGCATTCTCTATAAATAGAGGGGTGCAAGTTATGGTCCCGTGTTCATCCCGTCTTTCTGCATCCCATCGCTAGAGAGATAATTCCTAAGGGTGTGTATCAACTAGAAGACGCAAACCCTAGCCTCCGTCTCCCGGATCTAAAGATCATCTCCTGTGGAGTCAGGTACACTACTGCTCAGTTAATTCTCTAGAAAATTCCAGTATGAAGATTAAAGTATTATCAGATTTATTCCAACATTTTGATCTTCCTCTCCGCCACCGCTTCCGCCATGCTACAAGGGCCAAGTAGAGTTTCAAATCGATTATAGCTAGAGCATAGTACTCGCGTCGTCTGCACCGGAGGCGTAGCTCACCTGGTGGGAAGGGGGTGATACAGAGACTTGGACTGGAAATCATGAATAATCTCACCCTCTTTTGATTAGTGTGTAGTCAAACCTCAATTTACACCCTCACATATAACTGTGTGATTGATTCTGGGGGTCCTCAAGGATGAGGTGTTTTAGTACTTTTCCGCATGTTCGAAGTTTAGTTTAGTGCATTGCCACATTCTCCTAATGCACTTTTTTCAATAGAGTGTGCCTATATTTTACTAATGATGCACATTTAATGTATGATCTATTTCTTCAATTTTTAAAAATGTGCATCGATCGCTCGTGTTAATAAAAAATGTGCACCATGATCTATATGTAATTGCAAAGATAAGTTGTATAGTTCAGGGTCAACATGAATAATATGACGTGCACTTTTAGCAACAAAGTACTATGCACTTTTTGTTTCAATTATGCAATTGTGTCAAACTATATATTGAATTTCAGAAATAAAATTGATACGAAGGAGGCATATATATATTTAATTGACTTCATAGAGTGCGTAAATGAATTGAAGCATTTATTAAAAAGAATAATTTGAACTATGATGTACTCCATACTAATTAATTTGGTTACAACAAGTTAGAAAAGAACGGCGTGAATGTAGTACATTCTTTGTGTAATTGTGTGGTCTAAACAAGAAGATTTTATGAAATGAAGATGTTATTCTTCATTTAATGCTAGTTTTTAAATTTTATTCGAAGGTGAGGGAGGGCTATAGTACCTATGATGACTGGCATGCGAACGTGTTTTTAAAAAAAAAAAAAAAAGGATGACACCCCATCCCTGAGGGCCCCCCAACACCGACCGGACGGCACGATGGGAGGATGTAAATTGGACTATAATCACAATCTGACAGATAGAGAGTGGGGCTCTGTCCCCGGTACTTGCAGAGGCCCTATGCATTTTTCAGCATAGTAACCCCTCATCGCAGTTGCCGGGATTCGAACCCGAGACCTAACCCTTGTGGCACTCCCTCGCTACCAGTTGAGCTACGCCCACCGGTTGCGAACGTGTTTTTGGGAATGTTCAAATGCGCACTATAAATGGATTGGTGGTGTATTGACAAGCAATAATATATGGGTATTGATTCAAGAAAACCGAATTGGTTAGACAAAATGGATAAGCTGGAGGGAGAATTAAAGTTGAGAGATGTGCATCCATTGAAACAAATGCGTGAAGATGATTTTTCTATAACACAAAGGATGTTTTTATTGCCTGAGAAGGGCTAAAAGTGACACTAACGTTGACGTTCGGATAAAAGAGCTTGTTTTTGCAGGAGAAGGGCCAGAAGGACCATAAAAGAGCTTGTTATTATTCAATCTAACCAAATAGTATCTATGTTGTGAAATGAGATTTACCAAACATATTTATCGCCTGATTTGTTTGAAACTTGTTAGGAAAATATCAATATATTAGTTCAAACAATCATTCGCCAATTGGCTCAAAAATCAAAATAACACCCAAGCTACCATCGAAGTGACCACAACCCGTCTTCAATAATGTGTCCCTAGATAATTCTACCCAAATTATCTAATCCCTACGTTGGCCATTCCTAGCGGCTAGCTCTAGTGTGGGATGTGTGGCATGACTGGCATCCTAAAACATTTAGTGCCCGTTTGGTAGCCATTATTTTTGGCTTTTCAGACTTATAAGCCAACTTTTTCACTAAACACGTAACTTTTGATTTTACGGGCTAAATGGTATATTAATAAGAAAAAGTAAAATTGGAGTTATTTTTCTGCCTGTATTGGCCGAAGTTAGGGGTGGGCATGGATGGTTAACCGCATTTCGGTTAACCAATATATGGTTAACCGTGGTTTCGGTTAGTATATTTACAATATCATTAACCGTACCGTAACACCGGTTAACTGGATACACCATAACCGTTATATAGGTTAACCATTAAGTGGTTAACCGAAAAACCGTTTAAACAATTAAAAATGTGCTGCCTCTTCCCATTAAGCGACACCCGTACACTCCGTATTATTATGTAGCGAAGGTCTGAATTGAACTCTGAAGCCTGTGATTTTTGTGCCGGCCTCTTCTTTCCTATATGAAAAGCGTCACACACTCATACCTCGTATTATTACTCATGACAAACTAATTCAATAATAATAATAATAATAATAATAATAAGAATAATAATAAGAATAATAATAATAATAATAATAATAATAATAATAATAATAATAATAATAATAATAATAATAATAATAATAATAATAATAATAATAATAATAATAATAATAATAATAATAATAATAATAATAATAATAATAATAATAATAATAATAATAATAATAATAATAATAATAATAATAATAATAATAATAATAATAATAATAATAATAATAATAATAATAATAATAATAATAATAATAATAATAATAATAATAATAATAATAATAATAATAATAATAATAATAATAATAATAATAATAATAATAATAATAATAATAATAATAATAATAATAATAATAATAATAATAATAATAATAATAATAATAATAATAATAATAATAATAATAATAATAATAATAATAATAATAATAATAATAATAATAATAATAATAATAATAATAATAATAATAATAATAATAATAATAATAATAATAATAATAATAATAATAATAATAATAATAATAATAATAATAATAATAATAATAATAATAATAATAATAATAATAATAATAATAATAATAATAATAATAATAATAATAATAATAATAATAATAATAATAATAATAATAATAATAATACGGAGTAATAATAATAATAATAATAATAATAATAATAATAATAATAATAATAATAATAATAATAATAATAATAATAATAATAATAATAATAATAATAATAATAATAATAATAATAATAATAATAATAATAATAATAATAATAATAATAATAATAATAATAATAATAATAATAATAATAATAATAATAATAATAATAATAATAATAATAATAATAATAATAATAATAATAATAATAATAATAATAATAATAATAATAATAATAATAATAATAATAATAATAATAATAATAATAATAATAATAATAATAATAATAATAATAATAATAATAATAATAATAATAATAATAATAATAATAATAATAATAATAATAATAATAATAATAATAATAATAATAATAATAATAATAATAATAATAATAATAATAATAATAATAATAATAATAATAATAATAATAATAATAATAATAATAATAATAATAATAATAATAATAATAATAATAATAATAATAATAATAATAATAATAATAATAATAATAATAATAATAATAATAATAATAATAATAAGAATAATAATAATAATAAGCATATAGCTCCCCACAATCACCCCACTGCCACTTTTTGCTAGACCATAGCCTCTTAGGCTATACGTATTTGTTTCTCGTAAGTCATTCGCGTACTTTACCATTAACACATATATTTTGCTTTCAAGTGGTACGGTTAAACATGGATAATTTTAATTTGTAACCGTAACTGTACCGTATACCGTCTTTTCATTCGGTTGGTTAACCGTACCGCAAGTTTTTAATAACTTGGAATGGTTAACCGAAAAAAACACCGGTTTTTCGGTTATTTATACGTTTAGCGGTTACGGTTTTTTATGCCCACCCCTAGCCGAAGTTACTGTAGAGTATCATTTTAGCTATTTTTTCATATAATTTTTTCTTTATTTTATAAATAAAATGTATTTTAAATTATTATTTTTCACAAATCAGCAGAATCAGCCAATACAGCCACATCAGCCAAAACTTCATCAATTTCAACAAAATCAGCCAAAACAACCAATTTCGTTATTACCAAACGGGCTCTTATTTATTTTTCTCCCAAAACTCATTAAGCGCCATTACATACACACTAGGCATGGACTCAACCGGGTCCGGTCTCGGGTCGGGCCTAGGCCCGACCGGGCCAAGGCCCGACCGGGCCAAAAAAAATTGCAGTGAGACCCAGGACCGGCACGGAAGTTGACCGGTGCCAGTCCGAGCTCGGGCCGGGTCGGGTCTAGTTCTATTTTTTTGTTTTCTAGATTATTTTATCCCCCCACCCACCATCCCACAAACCCATCTGAAACACCCATTCCAACCCATTTAAACCCAGCCCAAAGCCCCAAACCAAAAAAAAATTGAAAAGGCCCGAACCGGGCCCGGTCCCGGGCCCGGCCGGTTCTCATTTACCTCAGCCCGTACCCGTCCCGTTTACCCCCTACAAACCGGGCCTAGACCCGGTACCCGATTCCAGGGACAGGCCGGTTCCCGGGCCAGGTGGCCCAAACCGGGTCCAAGCCTAATACACACACCTGACACACGTGCACAGTAAAAATTGCAAAATAATAAAAAGGTGCCAGGGGGGAAACGTAATGATCATTGTCGCATTTTGAGGCATAACAGCTGGAATGAAAATTTTAGGGCAGTCTTTACAAAATATTTCATGCTTGTTGGGACTTGCATAAAAAGGAAGGGTTAACAGAGGGAGACCAGACCAATGAACAAACAAATAGCTGAGCAAAAAAAATCTCCAAAACCACCACCAACGTGAGATGAGTTTTGTTGAGCTAACGGTTTCAAAATTTCTTTCCATGCCACCCCCTATAGTTCTATCTTCTACAGGAAAATGTTGGGATTTCCGTGGAGGGAAGTTGGAAACAGAAAGATGTGTCCTAAAATAAGTGCGCCTTCATTTCTTCGCAATGTAACCCAAGATCACACCAAGCAAACCAACAATGATGACAAATATAAATGAGACACCACCTCTATGACTTCTGTGGGTGTCACGCTTCAAGAGCTCCTGCATGTAGCACTAGTTAGTTTAAACTAGTTTATTTAACACCACTCTATCTTGCTCTGGGCCCAGATATTGACATTTCAAATCATATTTAAACAAACATTTTAAGTCTCAGCTCAATCTGAGCCAATGCTCTTTCACTGCACAAACACAGGGCTCCTGATTCCTAAATAGAGGGGATATTGATCAGGATATAACTACATCAACTACTTTAAAAATCCTCACCTGGATACCTTGGGATGTCTAGGTTTCCAACCCATTTAGGGTGTGTTTGGTTCATGGAAGGAAAAATGGTGAGGAAGGGGGAGGGAGTGCTTTTGTGTTACTTCATTGGTTTTGTTGCAGGTTTGAATTTTAACTTCCCATGTAAGAAACTCCATACTGGAGGGAGAGAAAATCACGGTAGGGAGAAAATAAACCCCTCTCCTTCCAGTTTTTTTACCAAATGAGGGAAGTAGAGCATCCCTCCCCCTCCCCTCCCCTCCAATACTACAAAACCAAAACTACCCTTAAGTTCCACTGAGTCCCACATTAATCCTAACTAAGCCCCAATTACTCCCCAATTAGGCGCCAGGCCCCAATATACTGCTCAGTGTTCTTACAGCATTGGTCCAGAGTAGAATCACAAACATTTCAGTGTATATGTCCTAGTTGTACAGTTGTGCTTCAAGTTATTGGTATCTAGAATTGGAGCAAGCCTAAGAAGTGAGGAACTAGTTAAATGAGAATGCCATTCTATGAAGTATCTCAAATAATAAAAGAACTACAAAAAGAAAGCTAAATGCCAAACCAGTTCTTGATGAAGCCTGTTGTTTCGTTGATCTGCAGCAAGCTTTTCCTCGGTCAGTTTTGAAATAAGTGACTTTGTCTGAAATTCGATATTGATCCAAAGTTCTAGTCAATCAATTATACTTGATCAATATTTCAACAATATGTTGCCCCAACAAGAACCATAGCAATCAAGATAAATTGATCTCTGTATGCAATGGGTACACATCAAACAACTGTAAGAAGAAGAGATCATAATATATAGCAACTTCACCTCAGAAGATTTGTCAAATGAATCGCTAAAAGATCTTGACGCCTGAGAGAAACAAACACTGTACTATTATCAATTTTTACTACAATATATTGCTAAACGTTAATCTAACACAAAACTGCTAGAAGTGCTGCCCATAATGGAATTCAAATATGATTCATTGTCGGAAAGTTGAGAAACAACCTCGAAACAGTTTGCATTGCCATTCTCTGTCAAGGTTGGACTTTGTGATAGACCTTCCTCTGAACCCTCTGCAACTGGTGACGGTGGCTGAGGCGGAGACACATATACGACTTTCAACTTGCACTCTTCCACTAACTTCCCTGCTTCCTTGTTGAACTGCAAATTTAACCCCCACTTAGGCTTTCTTTGGCATGAAAAAACTGGCTTATCATCATACTTAGCCAAAATAGCCTATTCATCATAATCTAACGCCAACAACTAATTCTATTTTCTTGTGTAAATGTATAAATGGTACCCCAACTATCAGCATTGATGCCTTTTGAGTAACTCAATTGAAGGAAGCCGGTACTCTAAGTTCATTTAATTGTTTCAGAATAGTATCATTTGGAAATTCGTGTCAAAACAAGAACTTCACGTGTTTTTATTACCATGTCAGAAGTAACATCTTTTGGATTTGTCGCAGGACTTGCAACTACACTCTGAAGTAAAAACTTGTCCTTACATTGCATCTCAGCAGGCATCTCCTTTTGTGCCTGCATTGTTACTACACAAACAATGGAAAATTTGAACATCAATAATCACAAATACCCATTGTATTACTTAAAAATCACAGAATTTATTATTAAAAAATCAATCATTAATTTACAACTTAGCAACAGATGAGATATCTAAATGGTACACTTTCACTTAATTTAAGCACAGATGTTTTGATAGACAAAATTGAAAGAATAAAGAAAAACACGTGGAGGGAGTGTGAAGAGAAATACCTACTACATCACAAGTGGATCGAGGAAAAATAACGCCCGTATTGGGGCGAACGCAGTACTTTTTTGGATTAGTCGTCTTGACCTAGAAAATGAATAAAAAAAGTTGAAAATAAACTCAGATGACAAAAGGCAATTTAATAAGTATAACATGCATGAACAGAATGCATACGTCCCATTGATGAACAGATTACACATAAAACCAATTGATTCACCTTGAAAGCGACATTGATGAACAGATTACACATAAAACCAATTGATTCACCTTGAAAGCGACATGATTTTCACTTATATTTGATAACTGAATCGAGCAAGAGATCTGCTTCTTCAGCTCAACTGATGAAATGAAAGAATGCAGAAGAGTCATGGAAAAAACTACACAAAAAAACGAGATACAACGTCGAATAGAAAGGAAGAGAGGAAGTTACATGGAAACTTGAGATCTAAAGGATCGATATGAAGGAGTTCCGCGGTGGTCATTGCGATTCTCAGATGATGTTGAATTTGGGCATCCCTATCAAAGGAAAAGCCAAATTCATTTTCCTTTTCTTGTCTTTGGATTTTGAGGCGATCCGAATCTCTCTCGGCGAGTGTGGTCCTCGTTGGTTAAACCGGTGGATCCCATACCGCACCCAAATATATACCCCGACCGACGGTATTGTTTTTTTATTCATTAAAGAAAAACTATCAAATAAAATCCTCTGTTTTTCAAAAAAATCAATTAAACCCCTCAACTGAAAATTAGTTCAATCAAACCCTCAAACTCATTAAAAAGTGGCAAATCACTCTTCTTAACCGTTAATGAACCGTGTTACCGGCTTTTGGCTCTTTTCCCATTTCCTTTTTATTTCATTTTCTTTTGTTTCCTTCCGATCACCCCGTTCTGGCTGACCAAATGGATACATCGGCCTTGTTTGGTAAACAGTGGTTAGCAGTTAGCGGTTAGCGGGTTTTGTTAGCGATTTTGACCGGCGGATTGATTTGGCGTTTTGACCGGCTGATTTGATTAGCGGATAGTTTAAAAAATGTTTGGCTAATTAGCGGTTTGGATATAGCTGTTTCTAAATAAAATTAGACAAAAGGGCTTCATTTAAACAAATTCGTCCATAAATTTTATCATTAGTCATTTTATATTATTTGGTGTATAATATATACAGTATACGTAGTATATGATTAGTGTGTAATGATTTGGAATATAAAATATGTATACAATAAATATGATTAGTATATATACAGTATACATGATTAGTATACTGATCTGGTGTATGTATGATTGATTAGTAATTTAGTATGCCATGCGTAGTATGGCAGGACAGGACCCACCATAATAAAAATGAAGTTCACTTTCTATTAATTATGGAGTATGTTGGGTCTGCTACATGCCTACGGCTTTAGTTGATCGGTGATTCTCTTTAGTGAATTGGGGCTAAATGGACTTTACTCAAAGCCACCGAACTTAAACGCTGCTCCAAGCAGCATATTGATTTTGGCGTTTCAGGGATCAATACGCTGCTCCATGCAGCTGTTTGCCAAACGACCCAACTCAGCGGTTTGATTAAAGTCAAACCGCCATACTCATTTGAAACGCCAAAAATGGCCGATCCGCCGTTTCCCAAACACAGCCAATTTGGATCCCTAGAAAACCGTCGGTTGCCATCGATGTTGGAATCTCGAATTGAAACCGGGTCTCCAAGCTTCAACCATTAGAATTTAAGAAGGGAAACACAAGTTAAATCCAGGGTTAAAAAAACATCTAAATTGATTATATGGCTTGCGTTCGGGAAGTTCCGGGAGGTGGGAGCAACGGTCGACGGTGAAATTGGGTTGCGGCTTTGGTTGTTCAAGACAGAAAGTTGCATCGTCGGGTTAGGAATTCAAGCCAGAAGAAACCCAAGTTTCAATACAGGGGAAGAAGAAAATAACAAGCGAAGAAAAGAGGGAAGGAAAAGAAATAAAGTAAATAGAAAACAAAGTAAAGGAAAATCATGGCAGCGAGCTAGCAGAGAGCTATGGAAGGAGAAGAGAAAGTGTGTGCCGAGGAAGAAATTGACAGGAAAGAAAGAAACAAAGCTGGAACGGGAGGGTGGAAGGAGAACGGCAGAGGAAAAGGAAAATAGAGGGAAAAAGTAAAAATGGGAAAAAGTGATAAACAACCGGTTAAATAAGTTTATCACCGGTTAAAAAGAGTGATTTGCCATTTTTAATGAGTTTAAGGGCTTGATTGAACAAAGTTTCAGTTGGAGATCAGTTTAATTGATCCTTACATTGTCTTTTTTTTTTTATCCCGGAAGGCAAACCACCAAAATCAGTGGGGCAAATGCCGGGAGTCAGTTGCCGTTATTTTATTAAAAATAAGGGATTACAAGAGAGAGGAGGACCAAACCAAAGCCTCTCACAGAGGCATACCTCTGGAAATTATCACCAATAAAACCTCCAATGGGGGGCCAGACCTTACCCATATGGAAAACAAAATTTAAATTCTAAAATAAGGAAAATCAAAATAATCTGAGTAGTAAAACTTGCGGACTGGGTAAGGCAACTCATCCACCTTTTGAAACTTTTTAAGGCAGCCCAAATCCAGAGTAGATAGGGCATGGGCCGTCCAATTGCCCTCCCTAATTGTATGTCCAAAAATGATTCCATTTCGGGCAACCTTATCCCTGAACTCTATCATCGATCTATCTCCTCCAACATTGTCTGAAAGCTTAATCAAAGATAAAGAGGAATCGGTATCAACCTGAAAAGCAACGTGACCAGCCTCCAGCGCCATCTTCGTCGCATATACTAATGCTTGCCATTCTGCATCCTGGCTAGACAGAGCTCGCAACGGAAAGTGAACCGCCCAACTTAGCTCGCCTTTGTCATCCCTGAAAATCGCACCTCCAGCAGATTTCCCAGGTAAGAAAGAAGCATCAACATTAAGTTTATCTTTGCCCTTCGGTCTAATCCATCGAACAATCTGAAACATAGGTCTTCCAAATCTGAAATTCTTTGTCAACAAACCTTCACTTAACAGGTATGGCTCAATTTTTCTTCTTTTAAGCTTAGAGAAGCTCGCAGACCACATCTGGGTATGGTGTTTAATTTGGGCAATCAGATTCTCCTTTAAAGGAATAGAGTTAGATCCCCACATATGAGCTGAATAAGCTTTCCATATAAACCAGCAGATCACGCCTGGTAAATTATGTTTGAAAAGATCACCCATTGTTTTGTTCCCAGCTTCTAACCACCAAAGAATAATAATTTGTCTTACCTGGGATTGGCCACTAGGAATAGGAATTTGAAATATATGCATAAAATAATTCCAAATTTCCTTTGCATAGGGACACTGATAGAACAGATGTGTGATTGTATCATAATTGTTCTTACACATAGGACACCTAGAAGGCCTTACGACCAGTTGGAACCTTTGTAAAGAGTCAGTAATTGGCAAACAATCATGTAACAATTTCCAAAGAACTACTTTAATCTGCATAGGTTGTTTAGCATGCCAGATATGAGAATAAGTGAATGTATGGGATTTTACATCTCTTACCTCATTATACGCAGAAGAAAGATTAAATCTACCATCGTTTGCAGGAGTCCAAATTAACTGACCGTCATTTTCTTCCACGCAGAGCTCCTGTGCCACAGGATCAATGTTACAAATTCTCCTCCAAATTGATGAGTCAGACACCTTGGCTCTTATTTCCTCCCTAGGATACCTTGCTTTAAGAAAGGATGACCACAAAGAGGTATGATTCTTCCATTTCCACCACAGTTTTAATGAATAAGCCTTCTGAATTATTTCCTCCCTAGGATACCTTACATTGTCTTCAAACTTTTCTTTTTTGTCTGTTTCAGAATTATTTCTCTTGCCCTCTTTGGTAAGTAATTTGTGGTTCACAATAATTCTTACATATTTTCTCTCTTCTGTACAATTCTCTATCACACAAAATTTACTATCTTAATATCTGTGTAGGGTCAAAAGAGGAGAAAAAACATGGACGGAGAGAGTATAAAATGTGGGTAAATAATTTTTAAATTTCATAGAACAAATTGTTCTGACTGCTGAGTAAATGAAAAAAAAATAAAAATAAAGTAAATTTTTAGTAGCAAAAAAATTAAAGCGAGCCTTTTTTTAGTGATGTCTTGGCAAGCAGTCAATGAGGATCAAAATCTTTTAGATCAATTCTATCCACAACCACGTTTTTATTATTCAAAGCCACACATTTTTTGTATTAATTTATTTCCGGTTTCCGGTTATGCTCTTACTATCTAAAAGAATCTCATCCGGTCCAAGATTACCTATTTCGCCAGATGAAGCCCACCATCAAGCGTCCAGCTACTTCATCGACATTCTATCAAGAAGACCGTCATTCTTTTACCTTTAAGGCAGTTGTGGTGTTGGACGCCGGTAGGAGAACCAAAAATATCTCGCCGAAAATAGGGTATATCGGAGAGTAGTAAGCCGACAAAGGTGAATTCGAGTCAAGAGAGAAGAAAAGGGAGGCTTGATAATTTATTATATTCCATCTACCTCGAAATTTTGTGGATGGATCTAGCATTTATAGGCTGATGATATGCAAACCGTTGAAGATGGTTCTCGGGGTTGTTGACAGAAGTTACACCAGCTACATAAGTAAGTAATTAAAAGAAATATCAAGTATTACTGAGCAAAGTCATGGTTGAACGCTTGAGCATGATGAGTGTTTAAGAATGAATTCACAATTGCTAACAACTCTAAGATTAATTTAGATGATCTTTGTATAAACAAGGGGAAAGGGTCAGATAGGCCTTCGAACTTACATAAAAAGGTCAAATAAGCCCTTATATAAACGTTCTGTCGGCCTCAGGGGTCTCTGCACTGAGTTTGGACAGCATGTCGGCCTCAACGTTCTGTCCCCTCGAAATTTGTTCAATCTCATAAGCTATGAACAATTTTAAGAGTTCCAATGCAGCATTGCAGTACTGCCTCATGCGTTCCTCCTTTGCCTCAAATTCGCCTGTGATTTGTCCCACAACTAGCTTTGAATCCCATCGGATCTTAACCTTCTCCGCCCGCATGTTCGCCGCTAAGCGCAAACCACATAACAAAGTTTCATATTCCGCTTCATTATTAGATACTTTAAAATTGAACCAGATAGCATAGTAGGCCCTAAAGCCTTCGGGCGTGGTGAGGACCACTCCTCCGCCACAAGATTTGGCTGCGGAGGAGCCGTCCGTGGACAATATCCACCACTCGGAATCATGGTCTTCATGCCTCGTCTTTGTCGCTTCTTCACGTGTTGTGCATTCCACTATGAAATCCGCAAGAGCTTGCCCTTTGACTAAAGGGTGTGGCCTCACTTCTATGTGGAATTGACTAAGGTATACTGCCCATTTGACCATCCTTGATGATGCTGTGGGACTCCTCATCAACGCGCCTAGAGGTTGGTGTGACAAAATATGGACGGGGTGAGCTTGGAAGTATTGTGTTAGTCGTTTGACTGTCCACACCACTGACAAAACAATTTTTCTCTATGGCAGTGTACCGTAGCTCAGCATCCCTCAAGGTTTTGCTGACATAGTAAACAAGTCTCTGAGCACCACCCTCCTCACGTACCAAGACAGAGCTTATTGCACTCGGGGAGACCCCCAGATATAGGTAAAGGGTCTCCCCCGTCTCTGGTTTAGATAATACCGGAGGAGATAAGAGATATTGCTTCAATCCTTCGAACGAAGTTTGACACTCCTCAGTCCATACAAAACCTTTTGACTTCTTCATGATGTGGAAGAATGGTGTGGCCTTCTCAGCTAGTTTTGATAAGAAACGGTTTAGTGCTACTAAGCGTCCTGTTAATCGTTGGACCTCCTTAACATTATGGGGAGGCTCCATGTCCAGAATGGCTTTAACCTTCCCTAGATTTGGCTCAATTCCTCTCCGTCTCACCAAGTATCCTAGAAACTTCCCGCCTTGCACCGCAAAAGTGCATTTCTTCGGATTGAGGCGTAGATTGAATTTCTCCATGATTTTGAATACCTCTGCCAAATCCATAGCATGCGTGCTCGATTTTTTACTCTTCACAATCATATCATCCACGTAGGACTCCATGGTGCGGCCTAGGACAGGTCTGAAAAGCTTAGAGATCATGCGGGTGTACGTTGCCCCAAAGTTTTTTTGACCAAATGACATGACCAAGTAACAGAAAACGCCCTCTGGTGTCATGAACGAGGTCTTCTCTGCATCCTCCTCATGCATGCGAATCTGGTGGTATCCACTGAAGGCATCCATGAAACTCATCAGCTCACACCCCGCTGTTTCGTCCACCAACTGGTCGATGTTAGGCAATGGGAATGGATCCATCGGACATGCCTTGTTGAGATCTGTGTAATCAACACACATCCTCCATGTTGGGGGTTTAGGTGCCAATACCACGTTTGCTAACCATTCTGGGTATTTAACCTCCTTGATATGTCCGATTTTTAACAAGGTGCCCACTTCTTTCCTTACGAACTCCCGCCTGTCCGAGGACATGTAACGCTTCTTTTGTTTTACTGGTTTTGACGTGGCATCCACGTCCAGGCGATGAGAGATAACGTCTCTATTGATGCTTGGCATGTCTTCTGGCCCTCTTGCAAATACACCTTGGTACATGGTCAGGACGGCTATGATTTCAGCGCAGAGCTCAGTCCCCAATCTGGTTCCTATCTTAATCTTCCGCCCTTGTGTTTCGGGGTCAAGGGTGGCCTCCTCCGTCCCTTCTGCGGGTTCAGCACGGGGCCTTTGTTCTTCATCCTGTAGATATTGCGTGGCGATAGTGTTTACCTGGAGGTCATGACGCCCCACCTTCTTTGTGATTTTTATGTAGCATCTTCGGGCGAGCTTCTGGTTCCCGCGTGCTATCCCCACTCCGGTCGGTGTTGGGAACTTAATACAGAGATGTGTCGGGGACACAATGCACTGCAAATCTTCCAGCCCCGGTCGTCCGAGTATAAGATTATGTGCACATGCCAATCGAACGACTACGAACTCCATGTCGAGTTTCACTTTGTAGGACGTGTCCACTACTTCCACCAGGACTGTGATGACTCCTTCTGCCTCGATAGAGTCACCCGTGAACCCAGACAATGGGGTCTTGATCAGATGGAGTTCTCCTTTGGACAACTTCAGTTTCTCGAAAGTGTCGATGTACATTATGTTCACGTAACTTCCCGTGTCGACCAGGGTACGGTGTATGACAAGATCATTAATCTCCATTTTGATAACCATGGCATCCCGGTGTGGGCTTGGACATGGTGGTAGGTCATCATCAGTAAAACATATAGGCTCACGTCGTACCTTTTTCTTCATTGGAGAGTGCATGATCTCACCAATATACAATTGACGGGCCCACTCCTTCCGAAGGGATGAAGAGTCACCACCCGCATTACCTCCATAAATGAAATTGATGTCATGGTGTCTTCTCTCCCGTTTCGGCCCTGGTTCTTCCGAGGCCTCCTCGTTGCTCTCATTCCCGATATGCCTTTTCTCTGCCATGCGTGTCTCCTGCTGCGTGCACGCCACTTGTTCTGAAGACTTCCTCCATACATGGTTGGGTTGTTGCGTAGCCCCCTTGACGAAATTATTCGAATGACTTCTTTGGATCAGTCTCTCAATCTCTCGTTTCAAGGTGAAGCACTCCTCCGTATCATGACTATCAACCCAGTGATAGCGACAATACTTTTTAGCACCAGAGACAGCGTACACTTCACCCTCTGGCATCGGTCCTTGCATGAGACCTGTACGCTCGGCATAGTCCATGATCGTGCCCACCGGATGGGTTAGGGACACTGGGCTCGCATTAGAAATCTGCCTTGGACCATAATTGAAATCTCTTCTGTTTTTCTTTTGCTTTTTGTGGTGAGGGGTAGACCCTTCCCTCCAAGGTTCCGATGACTCATCCTTCTTCTTTTGCACCTCTCGAATCTCCGCATCAGCGTATCGGTCGGCCCTCTGAAGGGCCGCCTGGTACGACCTTGGCGGGTCCCGAATGAGACTTGAGGCGAACTCCCCCAGCTCGTAACGCTGCCTGGAACATGGCAAGGCGAGTTTGGTCATCCGCCCCATGCACGACAGCAGACTCCTTCCTCCACCGTATCACGAAATCTTTTAAGTCCTCACTCTTCTTCTGCTTCACGGCCAGGAGGTGTGAGTAGTGTAGCTTGGTTCTTTTGCTCGCAGCAAAGTGTTGAAGAAACCTTTGCGCTAAGTCCTCCCATTCATCAATCGAGCCATGGGGGAGAGAATTGAACCACTCACACACAGTACCCTCCAACGTAGCTAGGAAACATCGGCAAATTATTTCCTCCGATGCCCCAATCATAATCATATTAGCGTAATAACGTGACAATTGTTCCTGGGGATCTGAGGTTCCCGAATAGGCCTTGACATGGGGCACCTTGAAGCCAACCGGTAACGGGTATGCCATGATCCGTGTGGTGAACGGGGTCACCGTTTTCAGTTTAACGTTTGTGTGTCCATCTCTTGCATCTACTCGTCACTGCAGGTCCTCGATTTTTCTCCATAGCTTCCTCACCTCCACATCATTCGGATCATTCTCGGTTCTGTCTACGTATCGTCACATGTTTCTTGCCACCGTCCTCTACTTCTGCGTTCCTCGGTCTTTGTGAACGTTTTTCAGTCCCATCGATATGCTGAGTCATGTGCCCAAGTGAATGGTGACTAGCAGTCACATGAGTGACTTTGGGAACTTGTGCACGCTTCTCCTCATCATGGTCGCGTCGTCCACGGTGGTTTTGTGTATCCCTTTCTTTCTCCACATGGTGAGATCGTCCGATACGGTCTTTAGCAGAGCGTCGTCGGTCTCCCAACCTGCTAAACACTGAGGTTTCACTTTGAGTTGGTTGGTTCGAAGGGGCAGGGATCCCTCGTCCTTCTCTTCTCTGTCTATCTTTTTTAGACGGCGCTGGTGATGTCACCTCCATCTCCACCACCGGATGATTAGTTGGAGCTTGAGTTCCATGTGGTTGAGGAGGCTTTTGAGCACCAGGAATTGCACGGCGTACGTCCTTCGCAAGAGTACCTAACATCTTGGTCATCCCTAGGATGGCACCATGGACGTCAGGCACTTCTACGGGAACCACCGCAGGGCGACAGAGTCAGTTATGAAGACCCTGACCCGATGAGTTGGACGCAGTGTGTCCATCAGCGGGTACATCCTTCTCAGCCCTAGTAGTAGCCATTATTACCACGTCTGAAATTGCCTGAGTGTATCTTCAGCTCTCAATGAAAGCACCAAAATGATGGAAGTAAATCCACCGGAAAATAATTAATAGATAGCCAAAAATAATTAAAGCACTCGGAATAATACTTAGAGAGATAAATGTATGTAGTGTATTCAGTGTATTCAATGTATGTAGTGTATTCAGTGTATTCAATGTATTGATAGCCAAAACTCGGAATAATAAGAGTTACATGAATTTATAATACAAAATGGAGACAAGAAATATCCGGGCGACGTGGTCGCCATGCCTGAACTGACGCGCCACCATTCTTTGATTTGTAGGACTGATTGCGAGTTGACCCGTGATCTTCGAGATTTGGTATTGGTCACGTAGCTTCTGGGAAGTAGCATCATGCATGTGCGATGGTCTAAGCGCTTGTGCACCACACGCGTTGAGGCTCACCATGTGATGCTCAGCAGGCCATATTCAAATCCCATGGTAGAGGTAAGAGTGTGTCGTGCTCAGCATGTCATGTCTAAGCCCCATTGTAAAGAAAGACCACGTCATGCTCAGCGCGCCATATCTTTGTAAATGTGACTCCATGATTCTCATCCCGGGTATGTTGACCATGTACTTCCTTGGGCCTGATGTCCATGTTCGTCTTGTCCATATCATTTACGGGCTAAGCCCACCTTCAATCGGGCTTACCATATTGAGCTGGTATTTATAAAAATTCATAAAAAAAATAAGGCATAATGCAGATTTGGTTTGACAACAAGTTCGCACCCAAAGTTGTTGAAAATGTTCCAGATTATTATGTTCGTAATGATATGATAGGATGAGTGCAGCGGACAGATAGTATTAATGCACCTTTCAATATATAATTATTAATCGTGTTTAAACATTAATTGAATTTTATATAGTGAACCGTGTGAGTGGTCGGTCTCCTAGCAAGTGCCACCGCAATGACATTATTATTTTGCTCCTAGGCAACGGTGGGGTAATATTTACCGATCCAGCTAGACTTGAAGCATGCATCAGTTTCGACAGCGGAAGGGAGAGCCGCCATCGCCTGGAACTGCCTATGCAGCAATGACATGTAGGCCCGCATTCTGCTCCCCTGCGACAACGTATATATTCAGTGGAGATCGAAATGTTAATTGGTAAATAAATTCCCTTGATGGGGAGATTTCCAAGAGGAAATTGCTTAGCTGAATGTACGTCATTTGCAGATGCGAATTGGATGATTTCTGATTCTATGGGTGGAGAGTGTTATGCCAGAAATCAAGACTTCGGCCCTCAAAAATTGAATTTTCACTTTGCTTTGGCATCCTCCATCAGGTATAAATTAAATTTAGAAGCTAGGATGATCCGTTTCCATCATTCATATAGCATGCATGCATGTTCAAGGATACGTGCATGT